AAAGAAGTTATAGGATAATTCTTATCGTATCTAAACAGTGGCTTAAGATACGAGGTGGATGGATCAACAAGATAGTGTTTTAGTTTTCAAATTTTCTTTAAATTAAATTATAGAAGCAATAACTAAAATACAATTTTGGAACAGCCAAGGTTCTTCCTCAAAGGCCAAATCATGACTTACAGACTTAGCTGTACGCTCCGCTAGTGTGAATTTATTAATCACTTCATTATTTAACTTTCATTGTTGTTATGTGCACTTATGACAGTAAATAAAAAAAAAGTAAATAAAATGTAAGTACCTTGGTAGTCACAAGAGTAACATTTCCTAGAAAACTACCTAATCATGAGTATATCRTCGTAGTAAATTCCTTTTTGTGTACGAGATTTTTTATCGTATCATATTTTACCCATAATGCACTCTATATTTTGAATAATTTAGTCAACATTTAAAAAAATACTGAAATCCAATGATACACAAAAACAACATTATGTATATAACCTGTCAATAGTAAAATCAAACAATAATATTATTTTATGGTTTGAATTAAATACTAAAACAATAATAAAAAGTCAGTTTAATCGTAAGTTACTATAATATAAGCTACCTAGCCGAGAAATGGAATTAATAAATTATAATATTGTATGTATAGCTTTTATTGTTAAAAATCGGGATTTACAGTTTATAAACAATACTCAGATTTCCATGCTATATAACGTATTTAATACTAAATTTAAATATTAAATATATTTTAACGAGTTTTTTTTCAAACAGTTCGACAGCCAACCTGGCCATAATATGGTTTAATTTTAGATTTTTATGTAAAAGTATAAATTCTCAGACGTCGGTAAGTACTATTATAATAATAATTTGGTTGAGTGGTCTAAAAAACTTTTAATTCAAGTTTTGATTACGTTTGTGAGTGAACTTTTGAGTGTCCTATTCGCTTCAATTAGCACGGCTTCACAAAACCTTTCAAAACTTTTTACCGCTAGTTATTATTATAAAAATATAATACGATTTTACTGTTGAATTGTTTTTCCGCATTGCCATCCACTTACCAACAACTTGCAAGTAACCCTGTTGACTCTTCATTGGGTCTGTGTTRATTTGGCACATATACCATCCCCTGTCAGCTTCTCTAACTTCTCGGATATGAAGATACCATATTCGATGATCACTGTGTGTCACCGCGATCCGATGGTTCTTTGTGATCACGTGACTATGAATAGTCAATATGGTCTGGGTGTCCACTCTCAGCCAAGCAACCTTAAAGTAAAATTAAATTACGATAAAAGTTTCCACCAGCATCAGTATTCATAAAGGTATGTGTGGCATATTAATATGTCATATATTGTTTAAAAAAGTAAAACACAAAGCAATTTTTTTAATTTTACCGTCATTCATGCTGACATCAAATGTCATACTTCTCACATAATATAATAATTACTATAGTTTATGAACTCTAAGTTTTAAATGTAAATTGTGAACACGAAATGGGGTACGTGACTAGTAAATTACGGACACTTTTTATTTCGAGTTTTATTAGGCATCCCACTTATATTACTAACAAAAGGGGTTACGCATAATTGAAATATTGTAAGTTATTTTTAAAATGAAAAAAAAATGTATTTCGGTGAATAGTTTGCTAACATTTTTTTACATCATTATTTTATTTTATTCCTAAAAATAAAAATAATGTTTTCTGAATTAAAATAATTGTTTTGTGTCATTTTAATTTTTATACTTTTTAAAATAGAATATGAATTATTAGGTACAGCCTGTCAATTAATGTCAGAATAAAGTTATATTTTTATGTTTATTTAAAATAGAACAAAAATAATTTCACTTCCCTATTGTTTATGATTATAACAATCCAGTATTACGAATATTATTACTTTAGTACAAACTCATTAAGCGAATGTGATTTTAATCTAATAAGTTAGAAAATTTAATTTAAAATATTTAATTGTATCCACTTCATAGTGGCTGAATATGATGCTGATAAAAATGTAATTGAAATAACATATTTCTTAGCACAAATAAGCAACTTGTTATTTTATTTTCAATTTTAGCACTTTTAAATCCCCATGTCTTATGGCTTACACAATATAATCATCTCAATAATTGATACATTTTAATTTTATGAACTTATTTCTAACTTGGACAAATGTATTTAATACCTTGTAAGTTGCCAGTCCTTCGACGTTGCATATGAATACAGCTTCTCGACCAACTGGTACCGTCACATTATTCAAATCTTCACCAAACTTTGGCATTCCTAAAATGTGATCAGTACATGCAATTTATATAAAATATACTGTATACTTTTTAAAGCGCCAGTTTATTACTAAAATATTTCAATACGTAAATTAATTGAAACGATTTGTAATATATGTACCTAACAATAATAAAATATACCTATTGCGTCCAAATAATAATATCTAACTAGCCTTTGTTTTTCATATTCTATTGATAAAGTAAGTTTTGGGTACTTTTTTGATTGAGTGATATACATTAAGTAAGGTATATGGTTAACAATTTACTAAACGCAATAAATAATTTTAAAATTTGACCAAGTTTATAAAGCCTGTAATATATAATTTATTGAAGTAATATACATAACTATACTTTTCATAATAAATACCAAAGTCGTAAACCTATATACAAGATTAGTATTCAATTTATGATTCAAGTTAATTAGTTTTATACATGATTTTCAGATATTCCTCAATGAAAATATTTAAATTATAGCAATAAAATTGTGCTTACAATAAAAACA